TCTATTGATAGGATTTTTGGAACAACAGTAAATACTGGAAGTTTTACAAATAATGCCTCATCAAATTTTAATGAAAATGTAGCAATTGTAGGAACAAAGAAAATGCTATGTAATACACTTGAACCTCCAACAGGAACTAATCTAGATTTAACAGCAACGACAGTAACCATTAACGGAACATGTGTTGATTCAAGTGACTCACGATTGAAACATGACATAGACAATATCAAATCTAATTGAATGAAAATTATTAAGAAATTCAAGCCGAAGAAGTTTAAAAGACACGATAGAAATGATGGTGGTAAAACTTATGTAGGATATATCGCTGACAAAGTATTAAAAGCAACTCTTAAAGAGTTTGAAAATATTGTATGTAAAGATAACGAGCATTTAGGATTGAATTATTTAGTTTTACCAGTGCTAGTTCATAAGGCAGTATCAGAGTTGAATGATAAACTTGAAGGAATTGCAAAAAGAAAAATCTAAATGAGTAGATTAAAAATTAAATAAAAAATAAATAGTGAGTGTATATATATGTGGGTATTGACAGAAAAGTTGAGATTCATGTAAGATGTAAAAATAATGATATGAAAGAATAACATGTTATTGTGGTTGTGAAATTAATAAAACAAATAATCAAACATGGTTTTATTTAATTGTGCTAATAAAGAATGTAGTTTTAATCAGGATGGACTTAATGAATATGTTGAAGAATTAAAGGAAAGAGAAGAGAAGAAAGAAACGAAAGAGTAGTATGTAAGTGTGGTATAGCATTAAGTCCTATTGTTTCAGGATTATTGTGTCCTATTTTAATTCCGTTGAATATTTACTATTTTTCAATGTATTATGAATAATATTATTATCTACACAATATATGTATATAATATGGGTACTTCAAATAGTAATGCTGAAACTTCAAGTATTGGCAAAATCAAAGATATTGATGAAGAACAATTAGATCTAAGTAATATTGATAAATTACAGTTGAGAGCAATTAAGCAAACGGGCGAAAGATCAAAAAGCTGCAAAAAGAAAAATCTGCCAAGTTAATATTCAAATTACCTGCTTTACAGTTTTGCAACGCTTCGTTGATTTAAATGAACAATACTAAAACTATTACTAATATGAATTAAAAACATATGAATCAATTTTACAAATAAAACTTTGTTTATCATCATTGATTCATTTAACAGTTATTTTTTCAATCGTAAACAAATAAAATCATCAACATTGGTAATAATTGCATTTGTATTGTTATCAATGTCTTTATTCATAAAATAAGAAATGTCGAATAAACTGTTTGATGTCAAATACGGTTACTAACGGGACATGAACTTTTAATGGTTTTTTGTCTTTGATGTACTTTATCGAAGTCACTTAAATTAAAATTATAGGATATTCCGTTCTGAATATTGCTATTATCAACTTCAAAATGTTGTATATTATTTAATTTGTATGACTTAGACACTGGTTTAAATTTATTAATATAATTTTGATAACAACATTAAATTGAATTTAATAACCTAACATCACCTAAACTATATATACGATAATACGAAGTTTTTTACTGTCTATTGGTGCAATCATAAAGTATCATATAGTATTAATATAATTATATGTTTAGTTAGTAGTTTTCAAATAATGTGAAAACTTCTTCATCAACATTTTACCGGGGCTCTTTTCTACAAGGCTAATATAAAAAAACTATGCGGTTCATCAGTGGCGGTCTCATACATTTTATAAATTAGTTTCTGGCTTTCGTGTAAATTATCGCTTCTAACAATTGCTGATAGTTCATCTTGCAATATTTCAATTTCTTGGAAGTTTCTAAAATTATAATGAAACAAATGACTTATATTTACTCTAATAATTGGTGGAACAGTTGATGATTTTTGAAGACTTACAAGTGTTGATATTCCACTGTGGCGACCTCTACAGAATAAAGAATTTAGCAATTTGCAATTTCTGGATATTGCTGGGTTATCAGATACATCATCCAATATAACTAATGTACTAAATAACCTCTTCATTCCTTGTTTTTTCTGGTATTCAATTAATTTATTTTGAGTTTTTACAACTCTTTCTAAATCTACAACATTGAACTCATCCCACCAACACGGTTCTTCATCAGTATCAACTTTTAAACCTTCTTTAATATATTTCTTCACTGGCAACCAAATACTATCCAAATTTACTGATGGAGACCAGATAAAAACTCTTTCAAATGCTCCTCTATAAATATCTAGTATCATTGATACGCGTAAAGTTGATTTTCCACTTCCAGACGGTCCTACAATCATCGCTCTCATCGGACCTCGTCCTTACTTTGTTTAAAGTCATATTTGGTTTCAATTGATTTTACATCAGGCATAATAAAATAATATTGTGAATACGTATAAAATAAAAAATAATTGTATAGTAATGTCAAGAGAATATATTAATTTAAGTGATGTAAGGGATATTCAAGGTTTATTTAATTTTGGTGATGTCAGGACACCTTGGACTAACCAAATGTACTATGATACAATGTTAGATTTCTTGACTTGTATCAGCAACAGAAGTATAAATGTACCTAAATGATCAGTTGAAAGTGATGATAAACAATAAATTAGAAAGTTAAAAATGTTTTAAGAAAGATTCTCCTGATAGATCTACCAACGAAATGATAAACGCTGTAGAAGAAGCAATTAATAATAATATTAGAGATGTTGATGAATTAACAGCAATGACACTTAGTAAAATAGATAATTACAAAAATAGTTTTATTTGTTATTGTATGGAACATCATTATGCTATGAGTGGTGGTGAATAACATAATGGAACAGGCTTTCCATTGTTTCAACCAATAAGCATTGAAGTTAATTAGTTTGAATTAGTTTCAACACCGCTTGTGTGTTGACCCAGTGCGAAGAAAACTCCATTGCTGAGCCGCGAATATTCTAACATGCATGAAATAATCAGATTAATTATAATGATTTATCATATTATTTATATGAATAGAAGTTATTCAGATTATACGGATATAATAGATGAAGTAGAGAATGTAGAACAAGTAATCATAACTGATAATAAAATTAAGAATGTTGTTATTACTCATTAGAATTAACTTAGTTAGGATCACGATAAATCAAAAAATATCAATATATAAATGGGAAGAAAGAAAACCAAAAATAGGACAAGTTAGAGTGTTTCTTCAACATATGAAGGTAAAGAAATTGTTAAAGAATCGTCGGTCGTTGAGTTTGCTTGTCCTGTGTGTAAAAAGATGTTAGAACTTAGAAATGAAATAGAAACACAAAAAACAGGAAATTGTAAATGCTCGTGTGTTCCAACAAGTTTCTAATTAAGTAAAAATGATAAGAAAATGAATATTGATAAAAAGACAATATCAACTTAGAAACAGATGTTCATAATATAACCTTTAAATGGGGTAGGGGTGCATCACTCTCGGATGGGTGACAATGAAACAAAGGAAACCATACGTGAAATGATGAAAAATAGAATATAAAGAGTAGATTTAGCACCACTTCAAACGCATAAACAAATATCTAAATATTTATATATAGAAATGTCGGAAAATGAAAGTTTTACAATTAACGATTTAATGAAAAAGATTGTACTTATTAGTAAGAATGTTAAAGCAATGTCAGAACTTGTTAAGACTATTGATGATAAATTAAATCAACCTAAAAGCGACAAGGAAAACGATAAGGAGAAGATGGATAGAATGTGTGAAAATAAATAAATAGGACGTCCGTCTGGCAGTTACGATGAGAACACGCAGAAATACTGCGAAATGACTAGTAACAGTAAAATCAAACAGCCAAAAAATGAAACTGTTCAACACTACAAAATGTTTAAGAACGAAGAAGGAAAATACAAATTAATGTAATAAAAATCTAAATCATTCTAATAATAAATGAATTTATTAAAACTATTTAGCGGAACAGGTAGTGTGGGACATATTGCAAGGTCGCTCGGTTTTAAGGTAATATCGTTGGAATTGAAAAATGCTGACATCAATGATGATATTTTGAAACGGGATTATAAGCAGTTTGACAAAGGGCATTTTGATTTTATTTGGGCATCACCCCCTTGCACGGAATACAGCACCGAAGGTGGGCTATATGCCACTGACGAAGTCAGTGGCGAATACAGTTGGCTTTCGGGCCTTCTGGCGCGCGCGTGCGTGCGACCCCAGCCACAAAAAGTTGTTATTTACGGCGTTTTGTTGCATTTGCGTTTCCGGGCTGGCTTGCGGGCTGCTCTGTTTGGGCTGCTCTTTCGGGCTTTGGCGCGCGCGCGCGACCCCATGTCAGCCTTCTGGGTTGGGCCCGGCTAGGGCCCAGAAAGCGGCATCCCCGGCATCATCTGGGGTTGGGGTGGGCAACATGCATAACCTAACCAGCCATATGGTAGCACAGGATACGTTTCTCGCAGAAAAAACATGACATGACATGGTGTAACTTCAAAGAGGCGTAGCCGGCTAGAGGCCGCAGGCCCAGAAAATAATGGGGCAGAGGTCCCCCTCAGAGTTTGGTCTCTCTGCTTGGATTGGGTCAGTTTGGTCTCTACACCCTGAAATTAAAGACTGTGGAAGTGGACAAGCAAACCCCGAAGAGCTCTGCCATCAGATACGTGCGTTTCCTACAATTGGACTGGTGACCAGCAGCAAGAAAACATCTTGAAGCAAAGAAGGCCGTGCGCTCAACCGATTGACAAATGGGGTGGGGTGTCCCCAAATTTTAGGGACCAAATGCTGATGCGCTAACCAACCCCAACCCTCAATAAGTGGACCTGCAACCTGCTTCATCTGAAGAAACAACCAAGCTGCTCACCCGCCTCCTCGGAAACACTACACTGGTTTGGGCAGCAGTGGCCGCATGCCTCGTGCCTGGAGTCTCCTCTTAACCCCCGCAACATGGGGGCACAACGGCATAACCCAGCATAACCTCTGAATGTTCGGCACATTGCCAATTCAATCGGGTCATGAAATCCACTCTACCGTGCCGTGGTTTGTAAACCGCCCAAAAGCAGCTGTGGCTTGGGTTGCCATCCCCAGAACAAGCTGTCCTCTGTCCAAAAGCAGGCGCCTCTACCGCACCGTCAGCGGCGGCTCAGGCGCGTTCTCAGCAATGTCGGGGATGTGGACTACAAATTTAACCACAGGCTCCGCTGGAACTGGCTGGGCAAATAGCTACCCAGCGGACACACAAGAGGAGTCCGTGTCATTTTTGGGGAAGTGGGCGCTGCGTCTTTACAATACAGCAGCCAAACAAGGACAGCTATGATCCATGTTTGGACGTGTCTGCAAAGTGGCTGAGCCAATCCGACGGTACCCTGAGCAATCACAAGCCGACTGCTCTCGTGAAGGAAGGATTGTCTTTGAACAACCCGTTCTAAAGCAGCCTTTTAACACCGTCCGGCTACGAGGGATTGGCGTCGTAGAGCGGCGTCGCCGGCTTCCGAAGACCTGAGCGCGGTCTGTTACCTCCTCCCCACCACGGAAGATGGCATACGACACCCAGCAAATGCCAGGGATAGCTCTAAAGCCTCGGGCAAAATTTGAGATGTGACTTCAGGGACAGATCTAGAACGTGCGCAAAGGCAGGTCGCCTGCTTCGATACTTTGCATCTTTGTCGCTGGCTGAGAGTGGTTTGCAGGCGCAACCCAAATAAACATGTTGTTGAAGCAAAAGAGCCAAAGGACCATCCAAATGGCCAGCATGTCCGTTACTTTGACAGATCCGAATGGCAACGTTTCGTTGGACCACAAGAATCGCGCGAACATGGTCAAACCATGTGGAAAAGGGCAAAAGGCACCCAGGACCCTTTGCTTGTTTTGTTGGCCAATTGGGCGGGTTTTTGTTGGTTGTTACATAACCACTAATGAAATATCTGGGCATCGAAACCCGGTAGGATTGAAACTTTGCAGGAACGTGTTCTCAACAAATATCATCACCACTGAGGAATGCCTGCCTACGCTTGGTCTCCAAATGCCACCTATAACGCCCCCCGACAGCAATCAGCATGAGTTCGGTTTTTGCGAAACTGCCCCACGCAAACTGCCCCTCGCCACTTGGGGCCCTCACCATCAACAACAACACATGTCCTTACGTTCATGTCCGTCAACCACAAAAATCCCACCAACTATACATATCCTTGCTCGACTCGCTCCTGGCTGAGTCCTATGCGGCGAGAAGGCACCATGCCCTCTGTAAGGTGCTGCAAAGCCTGCAAAAGTCGCACAGCTTTCACCAGCCCCCATGCCCCCTGAGAGCTGCCAATCCCACGCGCTTGACCCCTCCATAAAAAGGGAACATGTTACAGAAAAGGGGTGTTTTGAGCACAACCCGCTGGACAGGGAATGTATGACCATTTCGTTTGCGCGCAACTGCTTTGTATTCAGGAGCGTTAGGGGTGAGGAAGCCTTGGCGAGCCTGAAGCCCACCCTCTGGGCCAAAATCTCCAGGTTCCATTTGATGCGGCACGGGTCTCGAGTCAAGAGGCTCAAACCAATTTCGCCTTGTCCAACCATGGAAAACAAAAGTAGTTGAACCTGTAGCTGGCGTAGCAATGACTGGTTGCCTGCAACTGGGAGCCACAGAACAAAAGAAACTAACTCCAAAGCTTGGCACAAAGAAACTATCAGAACCTGGGGTCAACCGATCCCTTGCTTAGGTGTCAACAAGTAGACTGCAGGAACCAAGCCCCACTGCCACCCCAAACCCGCCCACGTTCTTTTGGGTTGGCCAGTCGTCTGTTTGCCATGAGCCAGTAGGCCACTTGGGTATTCTGACTTGCTTTTGCCTGGCTTCTAGGATTCTCAACAACGGCTCCAGCCAGTCACTTACGTACTAGAGCGTTTTCCACCTGATTGGCAAACACAAATGCAACTGAAAGCGCTGAGTAAGAAGACGGGGGCCTAGCGCAAAAGAAAGGGCCAAAAAGACTTGGAAGTGAATTGTTGCGGTGGAGCGAAAATCGATTTCCCTTTGCGTCGTTGTGTACAAGTGGGTGCCCCAAAAGTCGCACCCCGAGATGAGAATCCTTGGCTTGTGGTCTGTCCAATAAAGCTTATGGAAGAACCGGGTTGGACCAGATGATTGCTGGCCACCAGTTGCCCAGTTTTTCTTCTTAAAAGTCAAACACCCGGTAAGCTTGAATTTTGAATGGTGTGCCAAGGGTGCGCCAAACACATGTGTTGTCATTCTATTTTGAATTCAGTCAACCTTCAAAAAAACTGCAACTCAACTAAAAGACCCAAACCTTTGGTTTCCAGGTGACTTCGGCTTGCCTGGCGCTGCTCCAAGAGCTCTTTATCACGCTGCTGCACCACCAGGCGCCGCTTCTCCTGCAAAGCGAGGAAACAAATTTGGCGTCGCTTCGCGAAATCGGTCTTGGTATGATTGGGACATTGCGTGGGGTTGTACTGGCGTAGTTGAAAAAGGTATTATGGCATGTGAATTTGGCTGGAGTTGTGAGGTAGGCACAAAGAACCGCAAAGGCCCCTACGGCCCTACTTTTGACTGGCAACAGAGATTCAACCTCTCTGATCTGGTCCGCGCTGCCGCAAACCTTTTCACCTGCAAGTAGCCGTCCACGCACGGTGTGCGTGTCAAAGACACAAATATGGCCGAAGGAATTCCTATGTAAACCGAAATGCACCGGCGGGTCACATGGTCATGCACAGAAGATGGAGGCAAGTCTAGAGGCCAGATATTCACATGCCCCAAAGTCTTTTGCCAGAAACTTCTGTGTTGACCGGATTATCTGCCAACCCGATCTTCTTGCGCTTCTTCTGCGACAGAAAGTTCTCATCTGCCACAAGCGTCCAGGCGCCATCCGTCATGGCCTTCTTCAGGCACGATGATGGCTGGTGTTTTGTCAACCCATCTGCCAGCTGCGCACCACTGTGCACCCACCGAACTGATGTCTTTGCTTCTGCTAGTCTCTCCATCACCGACAGCACTTCCAGAGCTGAGTACTTGTCCGACAAACCCAAACCGCTCGTTGCTGCATCCCCACGGCCCACAGCGTCGTAAAGAGATTTGGCATCTGTCACCATCACTCCAGGGGTTTTCTGCAAACTGTTCCCCGGGCTCTGCAAGTCGATGCGTTCACCAAGCATCTCACGCCACTGCAAACGACACCACATCAGCTCCTGTTCACCCTCAGAGAATGCTTGAGCTTCTGCAGCTAGCGAGCTGCGAGCCACGCGCCGCAGTTTCGTTGATCTCCAGCTCAACATGCACACAGGTGACCTACGACCTTCAAGCAAAGCCGGAGGGGCCGCCGCCACTATGTATCCCCCTGTCGAGCCTCCGTCACCACGATTGGCTAATGCCGCGTCTGTCCAGCAAACCATCACCACTTTCTCGAGCTCACATTTCAGCGGTTGCAACCGGGGAGACGAGTGTCTCTCCGCATAGACCTCGCGAACTAACTTGTTCACTTCACGCAAAATAGCGACAGTCGGGGCCTTAACCATGGTCAAGAGCTGTCCCAGTTTCGCCGCATGTTGAGGTCCACTCTGCTGCACACGCCACTGAACCGCACCTAAAATAGCGCGCATCTGCTCTGTTTCCGTGGGACTGGCGGGAGCATGATCATCTCGATCCTTCAGATCGATCTGCTTCATGCCAGTGCAATATTTGCTGTGATCCAACTGAATCTCACCAGTGCTAAGTTGCTGCATGATGATGCCACAATGCTCAAACACATCTGCTTCCCAAGGGCTCCACATGTATGACTGCTTGAAGTTCACCAAGAATGCGTTCCAAGTGGGGTCCTGTTCATCACCTACCATGTAAAAATCATCCACATGCGAGGCAATGATTCCACAAACGCTGCTGTCGGGACCGCGAACAATCCACATGCAAGGCTCGGTGTGGATAGCTTCGCCTCCAATGAGAAGAATGCGATCTCGCACTTCGCAGAACCATTGATACGGGGCGTTGACCAGCCCGTAGCAAGCTTTCAAAATCTGCACTGCTCTGCCACGAGGTGCCTTCATGGCGTCCGCCAACTCATCCGGGGGTACCGCAAAAATGCTTCGCGATTCCTCCGTGTTCCGACTGCATTGAAGGAAAGCGCTCTTCGCGTCACACTTCAGCTGAGACCACCCTGCGGTCGCCGCCATGGTAGCCATCAACTGTCTGGATCTCCGGCTCATGGTTGGGCTAGCTTTAGGCAAGCAAGCAAGATCAGGGTCAGTGAAGCCCACGATCACGATCCGAGCTTTTGCAGCGCCGCTGCCCTTCACGGTGAGGACCCACCGCATCTTCATCACCCTGTCCTTCGGAATGAGCCTGCCGCCTTCCACCGCCCGGCACGCTGCCGAACGAACCCACTGAGTGACCTCCGCTTCTTTGGCTTTGCGGAAATCTTCAACCCTTTCGGGAGCCATCTTCGACAAGCTGACCTCCGGGGATTTCTTAATCTTCTTCACTAGCCACTCTTCCGGATCTCGTTGAAATTGCCGGAACTCCTTGCCATCCTCGGGCACGTCAACACTGAAGCACGCCATCACCTCATTGTCACCAATGCCAAGCTCGTCAATCAGGTAGCTGTTGACAGGGTCCCGCATGAGGTTGCTCTTGCCCTTCTCGGAGTCCATGAGAAGAGCTACCGCCTCACCGAGGGACTCATCCATCACCACTTTTGCCGATGACCGGCTCCTTTCCGCTGTGCCACCATGGCGTTGCCTAGCGGCAGCAAACTGCCGATTATTGAGCAGTTCGTGCAGCGACTGATCAACTACACTACCAGGGGTTCCTAAGCCCGATGGGCTAGATGTGCCTCCTACACAGGACCTTGAGCGTGCCCTCGCTTCTCTTGGCGCAGACGGTGCTCCTTCCGTCCCTACTTGCGCTCTTGATGGGCCTTCTTTGCCACCCTTTCTTGTTGGAGTCTTTTGGCCTCTTATGGGTCTTGATTCACTCTTGTCACCTCCCTCTACCCTTGCACTAGATTTGGCAGCAGCCTTTGGCCGCGGCTCGCTCTGAGCTCGGCCTCGCTTTCTGCTAGACATCAGAGGGAGTCGGCCACCATCTGGGTAGAGGTCTTCGTAGTTGTCGAACTCGCCCTTCTCTACTTTGTTGAGCATCCCATGGATAGTCCACGGAAAATCTGCTGGGTTGGTGCCCTCCTCGATCAAACGCTCTCTGGGCGAAGCCAAACGAAGTTGCTCCGGGCTGACACGTTTGAGCCTGCCAGCTGCCACGATCCAAATGATCTTGCCCAGCACAGAATCTTCAGCGTTCCCCGAGGGTGACAGCGTCTCCGTCGCTAGGACCCTTGCCGGACCGAACCATCTTGCCATCCGCCTTCGCGTGACATCGACATCCGCATGGGCAACTGCTTGTCCAGGAGCCTGAAACCTCTTATAATATACCAAATCGCCCGGCATGTAGATCTCACCTTTCTTGGGGCTCGAGTTCCAAGCGCGATTGATCGCCTCCTGCACCACCATCCGGCGATACGCTTCCTCCGCTCGAGTTCGCACCGCCATTGCTTTGGACACCGCTTCCTTGGGGTCGCGCTGTCCGACGTGTATGGGAGCTCCATCTCGTCCGCTCTCATGCATCTTCAAATCCAGTCCAGGATCACGTCCAAGTGCCCATTGGTTAGGGCTGAAGCCACCGACCTTCGCATGCTCGTTATGAGCTGCGCACATGGCCAGCACCGCCTCCCAGGCCGTCGCCTCCTCCGAACGTAGGAAACGGTCAACACTCTTCCGAATGGTGCCGATCATGCGCTCAACCACGCCTATCTGATGATGCGCCTCCGCAGCACAGGGTTGTAGTTCCACATCCCTTCTCGCACACCAATCTTCCAAGAGTCTTGATCGCAGACTTCCTTCAGGATCGCATCTTAGAAGGCTAGGATGTCCAAAGAACCGCACCCATGATGCCTGCAGTGCCTCCACCACCTGCTCGGCCGAAGCATTCATGGACTTATCCTCGTCGAGCTCGCCGATGAGGTGAGGAACCACAAACGTCGAAGCCTCGTCCACCAGGAACAAGACATGCAGGATCTTCTTCTTATACTTGAATTGCCCGATGTCCATCTGCAGAGTGTGCCACAGAGTGTTGGCACGACTGAAAGATGCCTTGGACACCGCGTGTGATCTTCGAGCTTCCAGGCAATCGTCACACTGCAGCGTACGAGCAGCCTCAATCAGCGCAGCGCTTCCTCCTCTCGCCTTCAGAGAATTCACCAAAGCGATGTTAGAGGGATGCCCGGCCCGCACATGCAGCTTTCTCACCACTTCTCGCACTTTGGCCCAATGTTGTTCCGAGAGTCCTTCCGGAATCTCTGACTTTTCTTCCTTCGGGATGGACTGGTCGTCCACCGCACCAATGAACTCCTCCTCGGCGTCCTCCAGGATGTCGACGAGGTTCGCCACGTTGTCGTCGTGGCCGTCCATGTTCTTCAGACGTATTCCAGGGGCTTGTCTTCCCTGGTCTTTGAGGATCACCCGAGAGATGATCTTCACCATCTTCTCTGTGTAGAAGGCAGACCGCTTGGTGTTGTCCGACCCCAAGCACGGAGAATGCTTGTGATCTTTGGTGCACTGCAGATCCAGCGCACTTGCCATCTCCTGGCTGGTGGTGAATATCTTCCAGGGTTTCTTCATCAGTCCTCCGTCGTGGGCGCGAACTCCGACTCGACAACCATGAAGAATCGTTCTGTAGAGCTCGTAGTGGTTCTCCACGTCCTTGAAAAACTGCTGAACCTCCGGAAACCACCACCCTTGGTTGCTCTGAGGCCATTCCCACGCCAGATGTCCACCATGTTCAAAAACATGGATGTAGAGCAGCTTCATAGAGCGTCTCACCAGCCGGCGAGACTTCTTCTTCCGCATCATGCTCTTCACCTTCATCTCTTCGGTCCTCTCGTTGAGGGCCTGGACACTGCTGGTGGGTCCGCAGGGAAAGCTGACCCACATCCATCTCGGCTTTTCTCTCCGCAAAACTTCTTCGGCTTTCATCAGTCCATCTCTTGTAGCAAGGTTCATGTGAGACTCACAAATTCGGATGACCGTCCCTCCCATCTCCTCCACCATGCCGGACAGCGAGCTATCCGGGGGGCAACACACTTCAATCAGATCAACCGGAGGGGTCTTGGCCATCATGCATGCACCTTCCAACTCCCGTAGAACTTCGTCCACAGAAGCCACGGCGTCCTTGATGCTACACACCAACTTCGCCTTCTCCTCACCCGATGTCACCTTCACTTCCCCGAAGCAGGCACCTTCTTCCACTCGCCATCCTCCAGGGATTCCAGCTCCTCCGCCGTCTCCGTTCCCTCGCGCTTGGTCATCTTCTTCATCGTAGGAGTGGTAGTAGC